TTGTGAGAGTTGAAGCCAGCTACCATGAAGGACTATCAGCCGGATTATTCCAGGACACAGGCAATGGCCTACAGCCAGTCCACTTCATTAGCCGCAGCATGACTGACACCGAGAAAAGATACAGTCAGACAGAGAAAGATGCCCTCTCCATACATTGGGCAAAGAACAGATTCAGCATTTACCTTCTGGGAGCGCCAAAATTCAAGATCATCACAGCTCACAAACCATTACTTCCATTATTTAACAAGGCAGCCATGCGACTTCCACCAAGAATAGAAAAATGGGTAATGGGAAAGCAAGATGTCGACTTTGAGCTAATCTATGAACCTGGAAAGGATGAAACCGATCCACTTGACTTCCTGTCGAGACACCCTTTGCCAGAAACTGGAAAGGATACCATAGAGAGTGATCAAGTACACGGTGAGAGCCGAACACGCTGTTGTTGTAGATCACATCAAGGAAGAAACTCTCAAAGACACCCAGCTTCAGAAACTTTCCATCAGAATACTCACTGGAGATTGGGAACAACACAAGAAGGACCCAGACATTGCACCATTTTATAGTGTACAGAATGAGTTGTACGTAGTCAATGACCTAATCTTCAGGATGAATCAGATCATTGTCCCAACAAGTCTACAGAGAAAGGTCATCAAGGCAGCACATCACCTGGGACACCTGGGACACCTGGGAATGACAAAAACAAAGCAGATGTTAAGAGCAAAGTATTGGTTTCCAACCATGAACAATATGGTAGAGCAGATCATCGGTCAATGTTACGAATGTCAGGTAACCACGAAGCAGCACAGACAGGAACCCATCAAAGTCACAGACATACCAAAGAAACCCTGGGATGTCATATCTGTAGACTTCAGCAGACCCTATCCTGACGGTCATTATAACCTAGTGGCCATTGACAAGAGAACAAGATACCCTGAAGTCATGAAGACTCACTCAACAGCATACCAGCCGACCATGGAAAAGCTCAAAACCATGTTTGCCACTCATGGGACTCCAAGACAGCTACAAAGCGATAATGGACCACCATTTAACTCCAGAGAATTTGCCATGTTTGCCAAAACAGAGGGATTCCACCATCACCGAGTTACCCCAGAACACGCACGTGCTAACAGAGAGGCGGAAAGCTTCATGAAACTACTGAATAAGACTGAGCAGATCGCTCGTCTCAATGGGGGAAAAAGCAGTGTACCTGTTCAAGAGATGCTAACAGGTTATCGCTCAACACCGCATCCTGCTACTGGCGTGCCACCATATGAAGCCCTAATGAACAGACAGATCAGAACCAAACTAGATCACCAAGCGAGGGAGTGCAATGAGAATCCCCGTGACACAGCCATCGATAAGCGGGATGAGAAATACAAAGATAAGATCAAACAGAATGCCGAGAACAGGAACACCAAAGAGCACAATTTCTTAGTCGGAGATCATGTCCTGTTGAAACAGAAAAAGAGAAACAAATGGTCTACCGCATTTGAACCAGCATTCTACAGAGTAACTCGAATAGACGGATCAAGCATTGCAGCAAAAAGGATCGAAGTGTACCGTGACGCAAGCCAGTTCAAGATTGCTAACTCACTGATCCAGGAAAACACCAGCGAAGAAAATGAAGACCAGGAAGAACAAAAGAACCAAGAGGATTGGAGAGAGAAGATTCTACTGAATGCCGACCCTCACTCAGTCCAGGAGGAGACTAAGGAAAGCAGCGCAAAGGAAGCAGCTAAAACCAACACCAGTGACAAAGCGGACCAGAGCAAACAACCTATGCCAGCAGCCGCGACCAGACCATGACGTGATCGAAAACGTCCAGAGTATTTGAAAGACTTTGTCACCTAAAGACTGTAGTTTAACTGTACCTAACATGGAACAGAAAGGACTGTGCTTTAAAATAGCATGCCTAGTCTAAGTTAGGACACATGTTTTAAGTTGCGTTGTTTTTCACTTAAGGAAGAGACTATCTCGAAAGAAAAGGAGAAATGTAATATCCAGCCCAGTATTCCGAGATTTGCAACATAGTTCAGTTCGCACATGCGCATTAGCAACACTTTGCATTACCACGTTGTCAGCTCGAGTCGGAGAAGTTTGTTCTATTAAAGCATTGTTTATACTGAGAAGACTAGCGGTTGTTACAATATGTATATATACACGTATATATACATATATACATGTATGTAAGTATGTATATATAGGTATATATAGGTATGTATATGTAGGTATGTATGTATAAGTATGTATCTATGTAGATATGTATGTGTGTATGTATATGTGTATGTATATGTACTTACGCATGCTTACTTATGGGGACACACGTATAGTTACACACCTGTTCTGTGGGGACCGTTCGTTTTGTGGGGACCAAAATTGGGTCCCCAAAACTACATTGCCTTTAAATGACTTTTTTTGGCCAGAAACGTATTCTACAGTATAAAAAAGTGATGTCCTCACAATGCCATGTTGTGTAAAAGATACACAGAAGTCCCCACAATGGAAAAAAAATTTGGGTAAGTGAAACTTTGTTTTTTTCCAATGCCTTTCTGATAGAAGCTGTTCACTAAGGTGGTTGAAAACTGGGCATGTAGTTTGTTTTAGGTTTGGTTTGAAAAGTTTAGCTAAACTTTTCAATTTTGTTGTTTTTAATCCGTGTCAATCTTCTCCATCCTTAACCATCCTTGTTCCTTTATGCTTTGTTGTAATCTCTTTGGTGTTTTTCTATTTTTGTGAAGTATTATTTTCAGGTTTCCTTCAATTTAACAGTAATTTTGTCGATGCGCAAAATAACTCAAAATACCGTGACTGAGCTCCTTTAAGTTTGCCAACTGAAGGCTGTGACAAAATGGATCCACCTAAAGATAAAGCTGTAACAAGCCCTCTCTCTATTGATCACCCCTCTCTGGTAAGCCCTACTCTACAATAATGCCCACACCTCCATCTGCAAGCCCAGAAAATTAATAAGCAACCCAGGCCAGAAAGGGGGGAGGGGGGGAGATTATATGGAGCTTTTATGGCATACAGTCGAAGCTCCCGTAAGTGACCACCTCGGGAATTTGAAAAAGTGGTCGTAACTGGAGCTGGTCTTTTGCAAGCATGGGCTCTCGTAAGCAACCACACCTCAAAATAATAGAGACTGGTCACTTATGAGGGCTTTCAGCATAAAGATTTGGATATGTACATGAGCTATTAATAGTCATGGCCGGATAGCGAGTATGCTTGTTATGGTTTGGAAATAGCATGCACCAACATATTTTCTGGGAACAAAAATATATGGATACCTTGGCTGAACTGCGAAATTAAATTTGAAAGTCTCATTGAGAAGTGCAATCTTCTTGAAGTATCTACTAGTTTGAATCAAACTTTTTGGAGGTTGCTTACGAGAGCTTAAAAACAAAGGAAAATATCACTTGGTAATTTTCAAAAGTGGTCTTGGTCGTCTATGGGAGTGGTCGCTTAGGAGAGCTTTTAATTAGAGAGTTTGGGTGACAATCTAAATGGGATTTGCAACGGTGGTCGTAATTAGAGCTGGTCGCTTACGAGAGTGGTTGCAAGGAGAGCTTCGACTGTATGAAGTTGCAGATATGATGATGAAAACAGATTAGAAAGCTAGACCACAGTATAAATAACTTTTATAACAAGAAATATAACTGCTCCATAAAAATTCCCATTTCTGGTATGTCAATGGTTTTCGCTTATTAGTTAAGCTCGTGATAATTAAGTTTAGTTGGCCATTGTATGATTATTTTCAGTTTTTACGTGTTGGATCATAATAAAGGATTGCCATCGTGGTGTTGCAAAATGGTAAAATTTGGTTCGACTCAGTTTGTAAACCTATCGCCGCCGTTATAAAGTGCCAGGACGAAAAGGCAACAGGCAATGGTAAGGCTGGTCACAATGGGCAGTTAGTGGATGTACCAATATAACAAACCAGGTCATTTATTCATAAGAAGTGAAATTAGTTGCTCTTTTAAGGCTAAAATTAATAATTTATTGTGAACATAATAAATAAGGGCTGGCAAGGGTACAGCTAATCACACTGGACACTTGCCACATTGCAGCAAATGAGGTGAAAGCAAGGAATACTACGAATAGGATCTGACACAAAATCTATGTAACATTATGGGGACATGGTCACTTGGTTTCATCAAGTAAAACAGTTATTCCTAATCCCAATCCCTGGTGTACTTACACAGACTCTGGGTAACATTGTGGGGACATGGTCAGCTCATTGGATTATGACAGTTTCTGTTCTATTCCTCAGCCTTTGTTATTCTGGTATTACATTATATCAACAATATGAAAACAATCTTGTGGGGACATGGTCCGCTCTTTGGAGTTTGACAGTTTGTGTGCTTTTCCTTAGGCTTTGTTATTCTGGTATTACATTATATCAACAATATGAAAAGAATCTTGGCAGGTAATGGACGGGCATTTTTGAAAAACCAAATCAATATCATGGAAAGGAAAATACATAGTACTGTAAATGTATTTTACCCCTGTAATCCACCTTACTCAAAACTGGCAAGTGTCCAGTTAACTAAAACAAACGAATAAGTATGAATTAGAATGAAAAGTAATTATTCACTCACTAGTATATGAACTTAAAAACTCTATTATATAGTCCAGTTAACTAAAACAAACGAATAAGTATGAATTAGAATGAAAAGTAATTATTCACTCACTAGTATATGAACTTAAAAACTCTATTATATAGATAATTACATTATATCAATAATATGAAAACAATCTTGGCAGGTAATGCAAATGCATGTTTGAAAAAACAAATCAGTAACACGGAAAGGAAAATACATAGTACTGTAAATGTATTGTACCCCTGTAATCCAGCCAACTCAAAACTGGCAAGTGTCCGATTGCCTAAGAGAATTCCATAACTAAACATGTGGTGAAGAGTAAGAAAACGAATATGTATAAATTAGAATGAAAAGTCATTAGTCACTTACCACTATATTAACTTGAAACTCTGTTATATAGAGAATATTAAAAGATCCCATGAGAGCACTAGTGTTGAAGAGTCCAAGAAACTGCATGCATCAAGAGGTGATGAGAATGAGAGAGATGCTGATAGAATTGCATTAAATGAAGCTGGTAGCTCGAGAAAAAAGAAAAAGTGCCAGGATGAAAAGGCAACAGGCAATGGTAAGGCTGGTCACAATGAGCAGTTACTGCATGTACTGATATAACAAACCAGGTCATTTATTTACAAGAAGTGAAATTAGTTGGAATTGTTCTTTAAAGGCTAAAATTAATAATGTATTTTGAATATAATAATTAAGGGCTGACAAGGGTATGGTTAGTCACACTGGACAGTTGCCAGATTACAGCAAATTAAGTGAAAGCAAGGAATACTACAGATAAGATCTGACACAAAATCTATGTAACATTATGGGGACATGGTCACTTGGTATCATCAAGTAAAACAGTTATTCCTAATCCCAATCCTTGGTGTACTTACACAGACTCTGGGTAACATTGTGGGGACATGGTCAGCTCATTAGATTATGACAGTTTCTGTTCTAATTCTTAGACTTTCTTATTCTGGTATTACATTATATCAACAATATGAAAACAATCTTGGCAGGTTGCAAATGCATTTTTGAAAAACCAAATGAATACTGAGGAAAGGAAAATACATGGTACTGTAAATTTGTTGTACCATTTTAAACCAGCTTTCTCAAAACTGTTGGATTATCTTCAACAAAGCCATAACTAAACATATGGTGAGGAGTAAGAAGGCAAATATTTAACAATTACAATGAAAAGTCATTAGTCACTTACCAGTATGTGAACTTTAAACTCTGTTATTTAGATAATGTAAAAGGACCCCATGAGAGCACTAGTTTTGATGAGTCCAAGAAACTGTATGTAGAAACGATTACTAATCTTAGCGCATCAGGCTTATTATAATCTTTTGCCACGTCCTATGAGCCGTCACTTTGAAAAGTATGTAAGTAGCTACGACTTCAGGAGGAAAATGACATTTAAGTTACCTAGACCTAAGACCGATATGGTCAAGAAATCATGCTCATACAAGTCAATTACTCGGTGGAACGCTCTGGAAAATCAAATGAGATCAATTCAAGACGTTGACGCTTTTAAAAAGTCACTCAAGTGTATTTTTAAGCCACGTATGTTATAATGATGTACTATGTAGAATTTTTATTGTTGAAAATATGTAGAAATCTTACATTAGTCTTCTTATAATTAGTTAGGAATTTAGTTTTATTGGATTTAGTTAGGAATTTAGTTTTATTGTCCGTACACGACCACATCAGCTTTTGCTGAATTTTTTTATCGTGTTTAAATAAATGCTGTTGTTGCTGTTGTTGTTGTTGTTATGGATCAAGAGGTGACGAGGATGAGAGAGATGCTGATAGAAGTGCATTAAATGAAGCCAGTGACTCCAGAAAATTGAAAAAATGCCAGGATGAAAAGGCAACAGACGATGGTAAGGCTGGTCACAATGGGCAGTTAGTGGATGTGCCAATATAACAAACCAGGTCATTTATTCATATGAAGTGAAATAAGTTGGAATTGCTCTTTTTCGGCTAAAATTAATAATTTATTGTGAATATAATAATTAAGGGCCTGCAAGGGTGCGGCTTATCAAACTGGACAGTTACCACATTGCAGAAAATGAGGTGAAAGCAAGGAATACTACGAATAGGATCTTACACAAAATCTATGTAACATTATGGGGACATGGTCACTTGGTCTCATCAAGTAAAACAGTTATTCCTAATCCCAATCCCTGGTGTACAGACTCTAGGTAACATTGTGCGGACATGGTCAGCTCATTGGATTATGACAGTTTCTGTTCTATTCCTCAGCCTTTGTTATTCTGGTATTACATTATATCAACAATATGAAATCAATCTTGTGGGGACATGGTCAGCTCCTTGGAGTTTGACAGTTTGTGTGCTTTTCCTTAGGCTTTGTTCTTCTGGTATTACATTCTATCAACAATGTGAAAAGAATCTTGGCAGGTAATGCAAATGCATTTTTGAAAAACCAAATCAATATCATGGAAAGGAAAATACATAGTACTGTTAATGTATTGTACTCCTGTAATCCAGCTTACTCAAAACTGGCAAGTGTCCGGTTACCTAAAACAATTCCTTAACTAAACATGTACTGAAGAGTAAGAAAACGAATATGTATGAATAAGAATGAAAAGTAATTATTCACTCACTAGTATATGAACTTAAAAACTCTATTATATAGATAATGTAAAGAGACCCCATGAGAGCACTAGTGTTGAAGAGTCCAAGAAACTGCATGCATCAAGAGGTGATGAGGATGAGAGAAATGCTGATAGAAGTGCATTAAAAGAAGCTGGTGACTCCAGGAGGAACAAAAGGTGCCAGGATGAAAAGGCAACAGGCAATGGTAAGGCTGGTCACAATGGGCAGTTACTGCATGTACTGATATAACAAACCAGGTTGTTTATTTACAAGAAGTGCAATTAGTTGGAATTGCTCTTTAAAGGCTAAAATTAATAATTTATTGTGAATATAATAATATCAAGGGCTGACAAGGGTATGGCTAGTCACACTAGACAGTTGCCAGATTACAGCAAATTAAGTTAAAGCAAGGAATACAACAGATAGGATCTGACACAAAATCTATGTAACATTATGGGGACGTGGTCACTTGGTATCATCAAGTAAAACAGTTATTCCTAATCCCAATCCCTGGTGTACTTACACAGAATCTGGGTAACATTGTGGGGACATGGTCATTTGGCTGTACACTTTGGATATGATAGTAAAATTTTCGGTCTGTAAAATGACCTAAGAGGACTACCAGGTTCATTTCATGGCTGTCAAAAAGACATTTAAACTTTCTGGTTTAATGATTTGTTCGTTACATAAAAGACCATGAATTTACACGGCGTCAGACTCCGTTCAGGATTTTGCACACTCTAAAGAGACTCTTTATAATTATTAACTGCTTTCTGTTTGTTCCTACATTTTTATGCTTGTTGTTGTTGTTTTATTTATTTATTTTTTTATTACAAGCCATTCAATACAAAAAGGGGGTATATACAGAAACTTAAATGTAACACGGGTGAAATAAATGTACTAAAAGGTCATCTTTCTTTTAATTGCTCTGTAACAGAATATATAGAAAAACTTTAAGTTGACTCCTCCTTATAGGTGCTTATAGGTATAGACACTTCCGTTTTAAGAAGAACAATATGTCACGACTGAGGTATAAGATTTTAACTTGCTTTCACTCTGTTTTTAGAACAGGGAAAAACAGTTTACCTTAAGACATAAGTGGACAGCGCTTCAAGCCGATTTCTTTAGCCACCTTCAAAACGAAGACGAAGAGTCTAGTGGACTGGGCGAGGAAGAAGATTACAGTGAAGCGGACGAGACTGGTGGAAGTGGTACTAACAGCCGCAACAGCTTGCCTGAAAAAGAGAAAGGTGATGCGAATGAAGCATTTACCGGCAAAAAGGTGAAGAACGAAGGAAAGTGTGAGAAGCCAGAGCCGTGCCCAGTACCAAATTGTAACGACAAAGAGTTTGGTGAACTAGGCAAGGAAGAAGATTAGTGATACGGACGAGTCTTCTGAAACTGGTTCTGACGGCAACAAGAGCTGGCCTGAAAAAGGGGAAAGTGATGCAAATGAAGAATGTAACGAAAAGAACATCAAGAACGAAGGAAAGCGTGAGAAGAAGCCGTGCCCAGTACCAAATTGTTACGCCAATGTTGTTCACCTCCCAAAGCACCTCCACAACGTCCACAAGTGGCATGCAGAATATGCTAGAACGGCACTATCAAGATTCAAGCTCCGCAAGAAGTATGAATTTGCCAGTCAAGAAGCAGCTTCTGCTGGAAATCACAGCCGTAAAAAAAAGTGAGGAAAAGAAAACCAAGCCGAAGCCCAATCGAAAGAGAAAAATATGTCCTTTACCTGGGTGTATGGTAATTACAGAGAGATTGCCTCAACACCTTCAGAGAACACATAAACTAAAAAGAGAAGATCCGAAGTATAAAAAGTATCTTTCCCTCGCAAAGGTTGTTTCTAAGGACAAACCTCATGCTTTTATGCATATGAAAGAAGAAATGGGGCGGATGCAAAGGCTCACTCCAGAGTTCGTAGTGAGAGGTGAAGAGCTCGAAGATACTGGCGACAATTCAGAAGACGGGTTCCTCTTAAATGTCCAAAGTTATGACTGTGATGAGAAACAAGACGTATTTGACTTATCGCCACCAGAAAACGAGTTGGCAGAGATGACAGAGAGCACAGAGATGGTAAACTCCGTTGGCAGAGATGACAGAGAGCACAGAGATGGCAAACTCCGTAGCCAGAAACAACTCAGAGACTGAAACCAAAGTCCTGAACCAATTTTGTAACTGGATGTTGTCTCCTGATGGGGAACAAAAGGACCAAAAAACTGCAACGCAGCATGTCGCTCAAGTGAAAAGAATTATCTGAACATTGGGTAAGGGACTTGAATGTTTACTCCACAAGAAAGAGATCAGAGATGTTTCTCTACCCAATGCAAAGGAAAAATACCATCCTGCTACAATTAAGTCATATTTGACGAGTCTTCAACACTTCTGTTCCTTTTTATTGGAAGACAACCCAAGTGACGTCAACTTTGAGAAAGATAACATCATTATCCTGCGTGACAAGCTAAACAAATGGTCAGCGTCATACAAACGGCATACCACAAAACGTAGATGGGAGAGACAGGAGGAGGATGTGAGTGCCTTGATAACTCCAGAAACGGTGAAGGCATTTGAGACGAGCCAGGCTACATGAGATGCCGTTGTTATTCTAGGAAAACTGTCTGGAAAACACAATGTGGAAATTACACAGGCAAGGTACACACTTGTTAGAGACTACCTCATAGCTCAGATTATGATTGACAATGCAAACAGGTCAAGGGTAGTTGCTTTTATGACCGTGCAGGAATTTCGGCGCGCTAAGATGGAAGGTGACCGATATGTTGTGAAAGTTCTTGAGCATAAAACAGTAGATACTCACGGCCCTGCTCAAGTAGTCCTGACGGTGCATTTATACAACTGCCTTAATATTTTTCTGAAGGAAATGCGCTCCAAGCTTCCTGGTCGCAAACGGAAGGAAAGCAGCCATTGTTCCTTTCATGGGCGGGGAACAAATTACAGTCAAGCCAGATCACCTCTGCGATTGGATCAATATTTAAGAAAGCTGGAGTGGAGGGTCGAGTACACCATACATTGCATAGGAGTACGGGCCGGGGGGGCTGCAGCCCCCCCCCCAAAATTTTGGACAATTCAGATTTTTTGGGCAGCAAGAGAAATTTGGGCAAAGCCAGTTTTTAAAGATGTTTTCAAGTTTTTTATTGAAATAGAGAGAAATTTTCTATTTTTACCTGAATTTAAAAATGGAAAGCCAGTTAAATTCACACGAGAAAGCAGTTGCCTAGCACGTGACGAGCTTCTGGTCATTAGTAAGGAGGGTCATAAGTTGATATACATATTTCTATTTTTTGTGTTTGTTCTTGGGCATTGTACTGTACTGTACTGTACTGTACTGTACTGTACCGCACTGCACTAGCTGGTGTTGTAAATTAATTAGAATCAATTTCCGCCTAGCTTTGTAGAATAATATCGTAGATTATCGACTGGAGACTCTCAGAAGATCTGAGTCACGTGCTAGGCAACCACTATCTCGTGTGAATTTAACTGGCTCTACCATGGGCTTTAAGTGCCTAAAGCCAGTTAAATTTACGCCCGTAGTTTCGTAAAAAGTTACGCGACAGTGAAAACTGTTAAATTCACACGAGACAGCGGTTGCCTAGCACGTGACGAGCTTTTGGTCATTAGTAAAGAGGATCATAAGTTGAAATACGTACTTGTATTTTTTGTTTTTGTTTTTGGGCACTGTACATACTTTACTGCACTTTACTAGCTGGTGTTGTAAATTTATTAGAATCAATTTCGGCATAGCTTTCTAGAATCATATTGTAGATTATCGACTGGAGACTTTCAGAAGATCTGGGTCATGTGCTAGGAAACCACTGTCTCGTGTGAATTTAACTGGCTTTACCATGGGCTTTACGTTCATAAAGCTAGTGAGATTCACGCCTGTAGTTTCGTAAAAAGTGACGTGAAAGTGGAAACAAATACGCATCTTGCATGCATTTTCTTGTAGAACTCTCCTTGTCCCATATTAGACATGTCAAATCCATCGCCACAGAAACGAAAACTGGCCTATCGCCATCGTGTTAAATGCCCCGAATGCAAAAAAGAAATCGTTGCCGAGTACCAAGACGCTCATGCAAGAAACAAGCATATAGGCAAGAAAGTTAAATTTACTATTTCTCGTGTGCCAAATCAATTGCAACTAGGTTTCACTGGCGGCGATGAAACCATTACCAATATGGTTAAATGCAGTAAAATTGGAAAATTAAACGAGACTTACCTGTAAGTTGAAGTTTGATTGAAATTCTATCCGTCACCAAGCACTGAGGGCTCACGTGAGATAGCATTGCGCCTGCGCGAACTCAGTTTTTAAAGCACTTGCCATGTGTGCAGGGGAAAGAAAACCCTGACCAGCAAAATGGGAGGGCCTTAAAAGGGAGGGCACGTAATCCCTCAGTGCTTGGTGACGGATAGAATTTCAATCAAACTTCAACTTACAGGTAAGTCTCGTTTAATTTTCCAATTCTATTCCGTCACCGCACTGAGGGCTCACGTGAGACTTCAAAGCCCACTGCACACATGAACAGAGTAATGACCAACCAAGCAAGTCATATTGGTCAAAAACAGTTTATTAACTTTACTCTTGTAACAAAACGTTAGAAAAGCTATCTGTGTTGATAACAGGCTTGCTATAAAACTTTGCAAAAGTGTCAGATGAGCTCCATCCTGCAACTGATAAGATGTGCTCTAATGGTACAGATTTCAACAAAGCCTTAGATGTTGCAGCAGCCCTAGTACTGTGGGGCTTGAAAAGGTTTACATCAATTCCTGACTTTTGCATTACAGCTTTGACCCATCTACTGATGGTGTCCCGGGAAACTGGTTTAAATGGCTTCTAATGACTAATAAACAATTGTTGTGCACCTCCACGTAGAGAAGAGGTACGATTAAGATATCCCTTCAAGTTAGTGACAACACAAATGTTAGGGTTGTCCGGGTAAGCTTCAAACTTAACAACAGTGGTTTCGACCCTGGCTTAGACTTTAAGACACTGGATAGAGCAGACCTTGCAGTGTTAATACCACTGTAACCGATGCCTGACTCAAATAGCTCCACTAAAAAATCTAGTGCCTGGGGGACAGTGGCAGAAACTGGATCAATCTGTTTTTTATGACAATATGTAGTCCATCTTTTGATGTAAGATGAATACTGCTTTGTAGTTCCTTTCCTCCAGGACTGTAAGATGATGGAGGTTGCCTTTTGAGAAATTCCTTGTGTCTCATAGGACTGCCGGACAATCTGCATGCAATCAGAACCATTTTCCTGAATAGGGGGTGGACTTCTTGTGGCATCCCCGGCATTTGTAAGGCAGTTCGTTGTTGTGGTAACACTCTTGGAGCAGCCACTAACATGCGAAGAAGTTTGGGATACCAACTCTGGGTTGGCCACATTGGAACTATCATCAATCCCTCTGCACAATCGGTTTGTATTTTCTGTAGGCATCTTGCAATTAAGCTGAAAGGAGGGAAAGCATAGAACAAGTGTTTATCCCATGTTACAGAAAATGCATCAATAAAAGCTGCCCCTGGGTCAGGTTTCCAGGATACATAGCATGGAACCTGATGATTTAGTCTGGATGCAAAGAGGTCTATGGAGGGCTCCCCCCAGATATCTGTGATCTGTTGGAAAATATCAGATCTTATCATCCATTCCTTGTTGTCTGAGAAAACGCGTGATTCCCGATCTGCCTCAACATTTTTGGTCCCTGGGATATGAGCAGCTGTTAACCATATTTGTTTTTCTATGCACCACTGCCAAATATCTTTAGCAATAGTGTGACATTCCCTAGAATGTACACCTCCCATAGCATTAATATAGTTCACAGTTGTAGAGTTATCAGAGTAAATCTTAACGTGAATGCCTTGCTCATTTTTGCAAAATGCCTTAAGTCCAAAAATTGCAGCTAACAGCTCCAGACAATTAATGTGATATTTTGCTTCTTCCTCTGACCATCTACCCCCTATTTTCTCTGTCTCTTTGACAGCTCCCCATCCTTTAGTTGATGCATCGGTGTAAATTATTACATCAACCTTTGAATTAGGCAATAATATGGGGTAGTTATTTGTCTGTATGTTATCATACCACCACTTTATCTCTGAAAAGCTTTCTTGGGATAATCTCATTTGAGCATTATAATTGCCATAGTTTTGTCTTAAGGCTGTAGTTTTATCCCTCTCAAGTTGTCTATAATACAGTGGTCCATATATGATTCCAGGAAAACTTGACACTAAAAGCCCTATAAAGCTAGCTAGTTCCTGGATTGGGAGCTCAACAAGCTCCATCATTTTCTTGCATCTTTCCCTTGTGCGCTGGATTTTTTCCTGTGTTAAGGAGACAGTCATATTAACTGAATCCAAGACAAATCCCAGAAATGTAAGGACTTGAACTGGCTGTAAGACCGACTTATCAGGATGTAGGATAAAACCCAATGTTGAAAATAAGTCACAGGTATCATTAATATTGGCTTGGCAGTCCTCCACGCTCTCCCCTTGTAAATAAGAGTCATCAATATAGCCTACATTTAGGTGACCCTTCTGGCACAGCGTAGCATACACTGGCTTAAGGATTTTTGTGAAGAGTCGAGGTGCACAGGCCAGACCATTTGGTAGACATGTAAACTGAAACAATCTACCTTTCCAGCAAAACCTCAGATATTTTTGATCATCTTTGTGAATTGGCACAGAGTAGTATGCGTCACGCAGGTCTACTGAGGCCATATAACAGTTTGGAGTCATAAGCCTTATTGCCGATTGTAAGGTATCCATCTTAAAATGTTGATACTCCACATGTTCATTCAAATTCTTCAAATTTAGAATTAATCTAAACCCTCCATCTTTCTTAGGGTGTATGAATATAGTAGAAATATATTCACCAGGGCAATGTGTGGTTTCTGAAATCACACCTTTGGTCAGCAGTTTATCAATTTCATTGTCAATGACCTCCTGCTCTGGTTTTGTAAAATTTATTTCTTTTGGTGGCATAAACTGCATTGGCTCTCCATTTTCAAACTCAATTTTATAATTTTTCACACTATTAAGTATGAAAGGATCTGAGGTTATGCATTGCCACTGAGAGGTAAATTGTTTCAGTCTTCCACCTGTAATTTTATTAGGTTGCTCTGACACATTTCTTACCCCAACGTTGTTAGCAGTCTGATTCATTTTGACTTCCCCTCCTTCTTCCTCTTGAAGTTCGGAGGATGTTTGTGGTCGTTTTTCCACGAGCCTAAAAAAGGCTTCCTGTAATGTTGGTTTCCTGAGCGTCCGCGGCTATGTGCGTAAGAGTTGTGCCTGTGATAATCAGGCTTGTTCGTTGATCGACCACTGTGTGTGGAGACTTTCTTTCCCACTCGATTGACCTCGGTCAATTCTTTCACTTGTTTCGGGAGATCATTGCCAAACAATTGGTCAGTGATCGGAACCGACGAGGAGCAAAGATGTTTGTATTCCTCGTGTAAATCCGGTTTAATAAATTCCCTTCGTCTTTGATTGAGTTAACTGTTTGCATTAGCGAACAATGTAAGTGCATCTGTTGACTTTTGAAGAAAGTCGTTTCCCCTAGGGAGTGACGACAAGTGCTCAAGGAGTTTGTCGATCATATTTGTCAATGCGCATTCCCTTTGAAGATGGATGTCTGCACCTTTTGCAGTCTAACATCTTGGGACCGGACTGTTGGAGTAAGGTGGTCCCATACTGGTTGATTGACTCGATTTTGTCAAGAATTCACAGTTCTCTGGTCTGTGATACTTGTTCAACTTTTCCTGTTTCTCTTCACATCTTGGGCACCGGACTCTGTGTTTACACTTGGGCCCGTCTCCTGGTCCCATTACCCCGTTGATTGCCAGCTTTGTCAGTTTTCTAAGCTCGTAGTTTTGTCATGTCGCTTCTTCTTCGTGGGGGCTCTTCGCTGACCTCGTGGTCATTCTCGGCAGATTTTGCCTCCTGTTCTTCCTCCGTGTCAACATATTGTATTTCAAAGTCTGACTGAAACTGTTTGAACGACTCAGCAATAGTCTTGGATAAATCTTGAGACATCTGGGTGAAACCCTGTCTCAGCGTAGCGGCCAGCTCTTGTAAACCATGTGAGTCAGTTTTGGCGCCATCGGCGCCATCACCTCTTTCGATGATTCTAACATTTGCTTCAATGTGTTCGCTTCTAGAGCCACTACTTTTCCTTTTTAAGTTGTCTTTCTCGCCCTTAAGCTCAGATTTATCCGAGGTCTCGGGCATTTTTTGCGAATTATCGCTTAAAACTAAAAATTCTCAGCGTGTTGAAAAAACAAACATCCGTTCGCTCCAAAGGCGGCAACACACTGAGTTCGCGCAGGCGCATTGCTATCTCACGTGAGCCCTCAGTGCGGTGACGGAATAGAATTGATGCCGAAGGCGTTGGCTCAGATCTTCAAAATGACAGCCATATAGATATAGTAGTGGATTCTTCAGATACTGCCCTGGAAAAGTCAGAAATTGAGGTGATTCAAGTGAATAATGGTGCTTGTTGTGCTCCAGCTATGTCAGAATCTATGGATGCTGGTCTGACGGATGAATCCGGAATCATGGATAAAGGTAATTCGGATACGTCAGAGATCGTGGATAGGGAAAGCATAGATAATGGTGCTGACAATAGTACTAGTGCTCCAGATACGACAGAAATTGTCGATAACGGTGCTAACTCTGACATCGTGCATCGTACTTATAGGGATATGTCCATTTCAGTTGTCATAGATAATCGTGTTCCAGAAAAGTCACTTAAGTCAGCTATCACGGATAATGGTGCTCCAGATAAGTCATATATTGTGGATGGTGCGCACAATTCGTCATTGGATACAGATTTATGTAGTGGTACTTGCCTAACGTCCAGTGATATAGATAAGAGTCCTCAGCAACCGATTTTGAAGTGCTACGACCCAAAAAAATTTGGAAGTGAATCTTTTTCTAGAGATTTCAACCCAGCCTGGTACAAACGATATCCATGGCTGAGCTACGACTTTGAAACTAAGAAAGTGTGCTGCTACCCATGCCAGAAATACTTGAATGCCCACGATTTCACGTTTGACAATTGGAAGAAGCCAGAGCGTCTTACTAAACACCACAAGAGTGAGAACCATCAAACGGCCATGACGAAATGGATTGATAGTAGAGCAAATAAGAAGAGAAATACTTCAATACTGAGCAAACTCCAGGAATCACACAAGCAAAATGTGAAGGAAAATCGTGACTACCTGAAAGTTATCATTGAATGTCTCATGTTTACGGCCCAGCAGAACATCACCCAGCGTGGTCACGATGAACAACGTGATGGTTTGAGTAATAGCAGTGATGTAAATAGCGGTAATTTTCTGGAACTAATTCACTTGCAGTGCAAGGACATAGCTTGGCTAAAGGATAAACTAAATAGCCAGCTTCAGAAGCACGCGCAGTGGACATCTCCTGTGATACAAAACAAAATGCTACAAATTATTGCCGATCTCATTCGCGAGCGTATCACAAACGATGTGCAAGCCAGCGGATGGTATGGTATCATCTTGGATGAAGCATCAGACATTAGCAGAACAGAACAAGTTTCACTTTGCCTTAGTTTTGCGCTGAATGGAATGAAGAAGGAAGCATTCATTGGTTTCTACTCCACGAAATCAACCGAAGGAGAAGTACTGTATGAACTGGTGAAATCCTCTATCACTGAACTCAATCTTGACCTAAAGAACATTGTTGGTAAAGCATTCGATGGGGCTGCTAACATGAATGGTGTACACAAACGACTCTCGACAAGAATGGAAGAGTGCTCCCCGTTCGGTATCTACGTCCACTGTTATGCACTGCACTGTTGGCATGTGCTCAACCTCGCACTTCAGGATACTATGACACAGATTGAACCACTGCGAAACGCTTTGGGGACTATCCAGGCTCTGCACAACTTTTTAGATGCGAGTCCCAAACGACACACCCTGTTTAGTGACACAGAAGTACAAAGCGAGGATCTGAAACTGACGCTGAAGTCATTAAGTGCCACGCGATGGTCATGCCAGTGGGAAGCCGTAAAAGCTGTATACGGGCAAATGGAACGTATTGTAAAAGCCCTGCTCACGCTGTCTGCAGACAAAGATCTGAAAACCTACTCTGAGAGCAGAGCCTTGTTGACCGTCATTTGTGACTTGGAGTTTATCTTCGGACTGTGTTTGCTGAAAGTAATCCTGAGCAACACCAGTAGTTTGTGTCGATATCTTCAGGGGAAGACGGTTGACGTCATCTCCGCTCGTAGAAATGCCAACATGACCATTCAGACCATACGCCAGTGTCGGAACAAAGAAAGTTTCAACAGCGTATGGCAGTTAGCATCAGCAATGGGTCTGAAAATTAAGAAGTGGCTGACCAATTCTGAGTTTGAATTACGAGAGGCCAGGGCACCCAGACAGATGCCATCGCGCCGCCTTCAAGCCCTTGTAGGTGAACACGCGCAACAACAAACGCAGCTGACACCCGAATCGCACCACTGTAGTAACACCTACTATGCTTCCATCGACAAGGTGCTGTCCGAGCTTGAGCTCAGGTTTAGCGGAAATGACCAGGAAATCCTCTTTGCTTTGGGAAATATCTGCCACAGTGAAACACCTGATAAAGAAAGCTTCTCCCGCATTGGTAAGTTTTACAACATCGACGGTGAGATTCTGGAAGCCGAGCAGAAAATGTACGCGAGTTCTCGTCATGTGCGCGGATTGGGCTACATGACTGTTTCAGAAATGCTAGAGACAATGCGCGAGAATGATCTATTCGATATGTTTCCAGAGTTTTCCAGTGTGGTGCATATCCTTGCAGTGATACCTGCTACATTGTGTTCAGCAGAGCGATCATTCAGTGCGTTGCGCAGATTGAAAACTTACCTCCGCAGCACCATGGGGCAACAACGTGTCAGTAACATTGCACTTATCAACATTGAAAGGGCGTATGCCAACTCTGTAGTCAACAATGACATGAATCGTATCATTAGAGAGTTTTAGATCCGAGTTTACCTCGAACCTCTAACCTCTGGAGGTCACGTGACAAGCCCTTCGGGTCACGTTTGAGGTTTACGACGTGAGTTTTCAACGTGGAGAGGTAGGTTTTCACGTATGTCATTTACCTGAAAGCTTTTAGCGTACAATTCTTGTTTTATCCCACGTAACGATACGAAAATCTTGTGGAGCAAGTCTTTATTCATTAACAGAGGCACAAATTCGGGCGAAATGCTAACTTTGGTAAATGCTATTGAATCTTGAAAACAAGTGCCATTCATTGCTGCTAATTCAAAATAGCGGCCGTAAATTTGCAAGAAGAACTATGTAAGAATTTACAGCTCTTTACTGCTAGATAACCCAGTGTTACCGTAAATTTCTTTTGTTTTCACTGATTGATATTTCTTCTATTTCTACATGGAAAAATAAATTTAGAATGGCTCCATTTTGTTGGCCAGAGGCTCGACACGAGCTGGCACTTGCCAAGGAAGTAGCTCAACACAACCCCGAGAAACCTGATGAGTGGGAAGCAGTAGCTAGGAGACTCGGCAAAGCATTTTCTATGGATTCATGTACCGTTGAGCTTAAGGGAAGAGGCTGCCGTGAAAAAATGGATCGGATTTTAACCAAATACAAAGAAGAAGACATGAAAGCTTTAAAGAGGTAAGTTTGCTGTTGGTTGGCTTGTTTATACTCACAACTGAGCAAAACGTTCAACCCTTTGTTTTCATTAGTCACAATTACAAATGTACGAAAAGTCCATATGTTTGTTTCTCGTATTGCTTTCCTTTTCAATAATCTGGCTCTTCTAATGGTCAAATGTACAATCTGTCACGAAAATAAATTTTCATCCAAAACATGATTTATGGCCTTCAGATTTGCTTAAGCTTATAATTTGATACTGTGTAATGGAGTATAAAACCAAACTGAAATTTTGACTCTGGCCTACACTATTCACGCTATTATTTAACTTGATTCAGGGCAAATCCAATCCTTTATTATCATAAATTTTACAATTTACAATTTTTACAATTTTTACAATTTTCCTGATTAGCTCCTGCCTCCTCATTTAGGTTTTATACAACACTGGCTTAGCATTTATGTCAAGATTTTTAATTCTCTCCTTTATTTTGGATTTGTGATACCTGGTTTGTAATGGGTTTACAGAGGTCTTGGATACAAGCACAGACGCAAGTGCGGGCATATCAAACAGCGATGTCAGAACAAGCTGATGAGTGCCAGATTTCAGTTAAGGTCCCACCACCAGCCACTTTCCATTAGATCACAATGAATAAATACTTAGCAACAGAACTTTATCAGACTCTGTAGCCGGATACTTTTTGGGAACAGCCAATGATCTACTTCAAAACATTCTGACTGCACTGATCAAACATACTACAACGTGACTGTAGTGTTTTTATTATTTTTTATGATTTTGAAGATCAGGCACAGAGGAAGAATTCACTGAGTTACAGCAGTTATGTGAGGATATCTTACTGTATAGAAGAGATATGATAGAGATGCGACAGATAGAAAAGGAATCAAGAAAGAAAAGGGAGCAGGAAGATAAAAGGAAAGGGGAGGAGATGCGGCAGGCAGCGGTAGAAAGACTAGCAAGTTAATATCCAATTCAATATTATTTTGTGCAAACAAGCGTAGGTTATAGTGATGATATCCATAAGGACTGTTTTTCTTTTGCTGTTTTACAGTCTTTACACAATTTTCTGACAGTTCCTGTTTTACTTGGTGGTTCATGATGTGTTGTGATTGAGCACCATATAATTTAAGTGCCAAATTTGTCACTTGACAGTTTGTAGTTTTAACCCAGTTTGAATAGAACCCATGAAATGCAGAATAACAAAATTGCTTTCATTTTAGAGCGCTGTAGTGATGCTGGCACATCAGGTGGTGCCACGTTGGATGTGTCTAGTTGTGGGTCAGATGAAGAAATTCCTTCAAAAGGTAACCTTTGTGAAATCTAGCAAACTATTATTCCAACTTCTCTGACTGATTGGTTGCCATAAATACAGTACATGAAATTGATTTTCTCTTTTTACTGGGGGCCATGAAAGGAAAGTAATGTGTGGTGTAATAAACAAAATGTTTGTTTGATGAAATCCATATATATATAATATATATATATATATATATATATATTTTTTTTTATTTAAGCATGTTTGAGAGTCTGCCTCAAGAGCTTGACTGCTCATCTATGGGACTCAATAGATCCATAATTTTAATGTGGT